TGTTTAATTTGGTCTTTGTTTAGAAGCAATATGATTGATTGATTGCATGTTGTTTTACGTCCCGTTCGAGAATTTTCCACTCATACAGAGACGTCACCATATATTGGTGAAGGGCTTCAAACTAAGACCTTTACTCGGTACTCAGGGCCATTGAGCAGTGAGGGATCTTTATCGTGCCAACGCCTGCCGTGACACGGGGCCTCGGTTTTTAAGGTCTCATCCGAAGGACCCGCAACTTTCACTTCAAAGTGCCGAGCGCTTGGAGAAGGAACAGTTGCTACCTATTTTTTATCGACTTAGGTCAGTCGCGGTCGGGACTCGAACCCACGACCTCCCGATCACGGAGCGAGCACTCTACCGAATGAGCTACCGTGACGGTTTGTTTAGAAGCAGTTTAGAAGCAATACAATTCTTTTCAAAACGTGTATTTAATTTTTTTTCACAAAAGCCTGTTAGATTAAGAAGATTTCAGTTATATATGCTTGGGGAGTGTTTGGATACTATGGTAGCCATGAGTTTTGAAGAAAAGATAGCAATTTGAATTCATCCGAGTTCATTCTTGAATTTAAAACAATTTTGCGTACACACTTGCAGATTACGATGATTTTATTACCCTGGTCACTCATCTAGAAAATGTAGGTCAGATCTAGGGTCTGAAACAAGTCTGAAAGTGTCCATTGCTATTATATCATCCATGCATGGTCTCCGGGTTGGGTTTTGTTTGGTATAGGTAAGGATGAAAGTTACTTGGAAATGTAAGTCAGTTCAAGCATCTGAAGAGAGTCTGGTAGTACTATTCATAGATGCATCATTTATGCCAGTTTGGTCCAGGTAAGTCTTAAAGTTACTTGGAAATGGACCTGCTCCAAAAACTTTAACCTGTTTACCCATCCATAAAATGAGGTCAGATCAAGCATCAAAACCATGTCTGGTAGTGTCCATCAATAGATGCATTATCCATTCAAGTTTGGTTCAGACAAGGCTTATAGTTTCTTGGTTTCTGGAGAATGGACCTGTTCCAAAACTTTAACCTGTTCACTTGTCCGAAAAATGAAGGTTATTTCTAGTATATGAAGCAAGTCTGGTATCGTCCATGCAAGCTTGGTCCAGGTAGGTCTTATAGTTACTTGGAAATGGACATCCTCCAAAAACTTAAACCTGTTCACACATCTGATAAATGTAGGTAAAATCAAGCATCCGAAGCAAGTTTGGTAATGTCCATCCCTTGATATATCATCCATGATACGTTGGTCCCGGTAGGGTTTATAGTTATTTTAGAATGGATCTGCCTAAAAAATCTTCATCCTGTTCACTCATCCTAAAATGTACGAGGGCTGTTCAATAAATTATGTCCTGAACTCTATGACATACACCATAGAAAGCATATGACATTAATCTCGACTTTCTCTCAGGATTGAATCTTTGATAAACCGATAACCGTTTATGTGACCACGTTTCATCATAAAGTTTCATTTTGAGAAGCTGGAAAACAAGGACTATTCGAGACACTGCATTAAAAATGAACGGTAAAGAATCAGTTAACAAGAGTGAAGTTATAAGCTTCATTAAAGCTGCTGTAAAACTTGGTAAGAATCCCAAAGAAATATTCACTGAAATATGTGATGTTTACAACAACCAATGTTTGTATTATAGGCAAATGTGCAGGTGGATTTCAATGATCAGAAAATGATAAAATGGGCATCAGAGATAATTACCGTCCTTGGCGACTAGGACTTATAAAAACCGATGTAATGTTTGCCAAAATTCAACAAATTATTACTGAAGATTTTTGAATGACTTCAAGACGCATAGCAAATTTGGTAGGCATATTTTTGGGGGTAGTTCACACAGTTTTAAAGAAACATTTGACACTATAAAGATTAGTACTCAATCGTTGCCCTGTGTTTTGACAAATGAGTGAAAACAGCATCGTGTAAGAATATCCAAACAATCATTTAAAAAAAAAAATCAAAAATTGTAGTTATCCACGTTTGTCTGAAATTCTAACAGGTAATGAAACTTGAATCCATTTCTTTGAGCCCCAAAGAAAAATTTACAACAAGATACACTTGACCAAAATCAGCAAAGGTCTGGGTAGAGCAAAGAATTGCCAGAACACAAGGAACGTTGTATATGCCATTTTCGTCAATAGTAGTGGTCTTGTTGTTCAGATTCTTATTCGGGAAGGCCCTTCAATTTCTGGACGAGTCTAGAAACCACAATTGTTGCAAAAAAATTCAAAAGGTTTATAAAAGGATGGAACCAGAATCAAGAATCTGCTACATTAATTTTCTTCACAACCCACAGGTCATGAATAGTAAAAAAGTTTTTTTTTGATAAACAGAAAGTTATTGTTTTGTCACACCAACAATATTCGCCAGATCTTTCACCCTTCAACTTGTTTCTTTTTCCAAACTTGAAAAAACACCTTTCAGAAAGAAGTCCAGGAAAACATAGGATCTACCATATTCCAGTATACAAAGGGCATACTCAAAAATGTGTTTTAAAAAACAATTAGGAATTGGATAAAAATGTTACATACATGTGTTTCAATTAAAGAAGAGTATTTAAGGGAAATCATTAGGACAAAATCACTGAAAAGTGTTTTTTGTTTCTTTCCGAACACCGTGGACATAATTTAATGAACAGCCCTCGTACGTCAGATCAAATATCTGAAGAGTGTCTGGTAGTGTCAATTCATAGATGCATCATCCATGCAAGTTTGGTCCAGGTGGGGCTTATAGTTACTTGGGAATGGATCTGTTTCAAAAACTTTAACCTGGTCACTCATCTGGAAAATCTAGGTCAGATCCAGCATTTGAAGCAAATCTGGTGGTGTCCATTCCTAGATGTATCATCCATGCAAGTTTGGCCTAATAAGAGCTTATAGTTAAGTACTTAAGAATGATCTTGATCCTAAGCTTTAACCGAGACGTCGACGTCAATGCCGTGGGTATAGCACAAACGCATCTCGACTTCATCGAGTTGATTTTATAAAAAATGAGTGAGAGTAATAACAATATTAAATGCAGTTGATTACTTGAATACTTACAAATTAAAGTTGTTTTTGCAGCTATATCTTGGATTCATCGTTCTTTTTGTTCTTCTGTCTTTGGCCTCGCTATCACTAAGCACGTTACCGACGTTCCAGCGGAAACTGACGATTTGCGAAGCACGTGATTTATTATTTTACTATCATGACTATGAAGATGATGTTGAGAATTACTTCGCTCACATGGAGTGTGACAGAACTGCAGAAGACGTTTTAAGGACTTTTCTTGGAGATTACGGAGCCTACACGGATGAAATGTTTCGAGAAAAGATAAAAGAAGTGAAAGCGTCTGGAATGGACATTGAGGATACCAAGCAAATTGAATTCAAATGGAAACTTAAAAAAATAAAACTACCAAATAAAAGCGCTCGCCTCAAAGTCTTCGACTTGATTGACATAATTGTCTTGGCAGTGTTCACTGTCGATCTAATCCTAAGACTGGTAACTTGTCCGAGCTTAGCCTCGTACTATAAGTCAGCGCTGAACGTTATTGACACCGGTGTTCTAATTTGTGGTATTTTGGGATATGCTCTGGAAAATCTTTTAATCAAATTTACCTTCGACAGGGGAGATCTTGATATATTGGTCTATCTTCAGCAGCTTCGTGTGTTTCGTCTGATCCGAATTGTACAGAATGTTGCCGCTATCAAAGTACTCGCTTTCTGTTTCAAAACCAATTTCAAGGAAATACTGATTCTTATGTTATTTTTATTTGTCGGAGTCAACATTTTTGCCAATATGCTCTTCTTTGTCGAACAGAACATATCCAGCATTCCAGAGGCGTGGTGGTGGGGAATAATCACCATGACAACTGTCGGTTACGGTGATCTGTATCCGGTCACCGCTTCCGGGCGCATAATTGGGACTCTTTGCGCAGTCAGTGGAGTTATTGTTCTTGCTTTAATTATTCCCATTTTTGTGAACAATTTTCTGGCTCTGTATGAACTTGCCTGCTTGTTGCAGAAAGAAAAAGACAAGAAATCGAAAACAAAGACTTTGCAAATTAAAGTGGAACCTTTGAAATTTTAGCATTAAAGTGTGGTAAAGTATCACTTAAAATGCATATAGAAACTGTGTTGCATAAACCACTTAATTTACACTTGGATTATTTGTATCCATTTTTTTTTATATATGAATATATTGATTGCTATGAATAAACTATCTCTTCGCAGAATTATAAACGCAAAGGGTACCCGTATAATTAGCAACGATATACAGTTCGCCTTGGGGAAAATATTGCATTGCATATACCACACGCATTTCGTTTAAAACTTTTACTTGGATGATTTGTATCCATTTGATCTTTTATATTGATTTCTTTGAATAAATTATTTCTCTTTAAAAGGATTGTAAACACAAAAGGCACCTGAATGATATGCAATGATATACAGTTTGCCTCGGTAAATAGGCTTGCCAACTCCCTTCTATTTAACCGAAATAAACAATAATGAATACTCCTGACTTTATTCAGTAAATATCTTTTTCATAAGTGTTCCGAACAGATGTACATCAACTAGTAAAATCGAATCATCTGTTTCAGGGAATCGGTAATTTAATTTACAGGGAATCTGAAAAATCGATTTTACTCTTAAATGGTGAAATATTAATAGAAATATAATGATATAATTTAAATAGCATGATAAAAATACAATTTTGAAATTCCTGATCTGCTCCTCTCTTGAGTTTAATTATTGAAGTATTATTGAAGTAAGTATATCCATTATTATTTTTTGCCATAGTTTATTTTGCTTGAAAAGTTCCCCAAATCTGCCAGTCTCACAAAAAAGCAAAACCTGAACACTGCTCTTGTGTCTTATCTCGACACATTATTATATTTTATTACGTTATTACTCCACGGATATTCTTTGACTATCTTAAAGGTCCTGTGAGATAAGCTGTGAGGAAACCAAAATTCTGTTTTCTTAGTGTAAGAAAATTATAAATAGAAAATTGTATACATGTATATTTGGTAGATTTAAGTTGATAACTAATTGCACATTAGTAGTCTAAGTGGTGACAGTTGCCACATTAGCAGTCTAAGTGGTGACAGTTGCCACATTTGTTCGGATTCCTCGGACACTGACAACCACCGTTTCTACAGCATGCGCAGTTGTAACTGGACTGCTCGTGTTGACATTGACAGCCGAAGCTAATGGCAGTATAATGATCCAGTTCTGGAAGATAATTCACATAAAATTTCTAATGCTAAATCTTCAAAATTTCTCTTTCATCCTTAAAATTTAGAAATATATATTTATTCATGTCCCTGTCCTACCTAGCTTTAAATATTCATTTTCTTTGGACTTTATATGCTCTTATTAATACATGTCATTCCTATGGTAATAATGTTAAACAATATATGTCCCCCAAGTGTAGGTATACAGCCCCCAGTGGTGGGTTGCTCTATGGTAGGGTTAAGATTTTCATGTATTGGAATTTACATGATCTTCGAAACGTTTACATATAAAAGTGTTGTAATATTTCATTTCAATACCTTCGTTTGACCCTGACTGATTGGATTTCAATATTTACCAGGATTTAACAACTGGTACTGGAATTGATTTGTTTTAAGATTTACTAAACTGGATTTGCCCAATGGTAATATAGCTGATTTGATTTTCAAATTTGACCGATGGTAATATGAATGATTTGATCTTTAAATTTCTTTAGCTAGATTTGACCGACGATATTGTGATTGATTTGACATTAAGATATACTTTGATTTTACAACTGCATGGTACTTTAACTAATTTTATCTCAACATTTACCTGGGTTTTACAATTGATATTATATGTGACTGCTTTGATTTCAAGACTTTACTGGACTTGACCACTAGTACAGTGACTGATTTAATATCAAGATTAACCTAGACTTGACCACTAATACTGTGACTAATGTGATTACCGAATTACTCGAGTTGACACTAATAAAATGATTGATTTGATTTCAAGACTTATCTTGACTTGACCACTAGTAATGTGTGTGTTTAGATATCAAGATTACCTGAACTTGACCACTTGTACTGTGACTTGTTTGATATCAAGATTTACCTGAACTTGATGACTGGTTCTCATACTGTGATTGATTTCATATCAAGACTTACCTGGACTTGACCACTAGTACTGTGACTGATTTCATATTTAGACTTACCTGGACTTGACCACTCGTGATGTGATTTCATATTAAGACTTACCTGGACTTGACTACTAGTACTGTGACTCATTTCAACTTAAGACTTACCTGGACTTGACCACTAGTAATGTGACTGATTTCATATTAAGACTTACCTGGACTTGACCACTGGTACTGCGACTGAGATGGATTACAAACTTTATTGTGCTGTTCATTAAGGTAACCCGATTGGAAGCAGTTTCCATCAATCAAGCAAGCGTCTTTCTAGTAAAACAAGGATTTAATTGTCAATTTCCAGTGTTTTTAAAATCAACCAGTTCCATATAAAAAATATCTAACGCATGTTTGTTTAAGTGTTGATTGGCTCTAAATACCTTAAAAAGACATTGTCCTGTGACGTCACACTGTTGACAAACGGAGTCGTACACTGTGTATGTTTGTTCATTGCTAAAGGTAGTATTGTCTAATGAGATAGAGACATTGTACTGCTGCAGCGTTCTTCCTGATAAATAACACATACCCGAATAAGACTCGACCCCCTACTTCACGAGTTTATTGTCATTAGATTTATAAATGGAAAGGCTATTTCCGTTTTGCCTAATTGAACAAATTGCTAAAATATGTATCTGTTTAAATACCATACATGTGTAAATATCATCATTGTATGATTGTCACCTGTATGAGCATCGTAGTGGACAGGCACTGGACAGAGGATCTCCCAAGCTGACACAAGCTCAGCAGGTACAATTTTCAGGGTTCCTGAACCCTAAATTGAATTTAAAAAAAAAAACGTTATAATACGCAGTATACTAGTATTCTGTCGTTCATATATAGTAGAGTCATTAATCTCACTTTCGTTCAAGATATGCATAACGCTTTCATAACGGCAAAATACAACTTGTTTTTGCTAGAGCTCTATTTTCCGAAAATCTTCAGTTTAAATTATTTATAAGATTTAGAATTAAAAGTTCAGATGTAGAACATACTGTCAATGGTTGGAAACGACATGTCATCTTCTCAGTTTCCATTATATTCTCAGCAAGAACATTCGTCCTTACACAGAATCTTTTCCTTATGTCACACAATCCATCACTTGCAATAAAAAATCATCTTCAGAAAAGAATACTTGTTTAGTTTTCAACATCAATCAGGATCTTTAAACATTGAGCGGCTGGCTTTAGGGGTAATCAAAGTAACTTTATTTTTTAAATAAAAGAAAATATTTCATGTACAAGTGTATTTTCCTTCTCGGGCAAAAGTTATGATGATTTTTGAAGTATGCTTATTATAAAACATAATGAAGAAAGTGTGGTAAAAGTTACACAAAGAAAATATCAAAAAGGCATGAATATGAAATGTTGTGCTCGAACTCGAAAACACAACATTTACATTCCAGCAATCATACCACTGCACCACGAAATCGATGATGTAGAAAGGATAAATTTTAGATAAATTGCCAAATCTTTAAGTAATATGAGAAGAAAATTGAACACATATTTACATCATTTTCAATATAAAGACCACTTTTAACAAATATTATCTAAATGCAGTCATACCTAAATAAAATCATTCAAATATTTTCTGGTTAAGGATGGACTAAGGCAACAACTTGTTACTGTTTAGGTAGATACCTAAATATTTACTTTATACTCCATATAAACTTTTCATATCATTTTCATATACACGTATATCATTTAAGGGAACTATAGACTATTTTTTTAATGGACCTCACGATGATTTTTCTTTTTTAGGTAAAAATAGATTTTTAAGGTATGAATTAACATTTGTTGACTGAATGCAAACAATCAAAGAAAATACCAATTTGATACAATGTATTTGCATTTTAGCAACTTATTATATCTTCCCTCCATCTTTCTAAAACCGGCGAATACCTCAAACAGGCAAGATCGGCGAACCTTCCTTTGTCAAATGAAGCAACAAGCCGGCTAACCAAAGGTCAAGCGGCGCATTCGGCGTACGCCGGTTTGACAATTCAAGTTTATAAACCAAAATCACATATTTTTTGTGGGGTCAAAATTTTTCGGTGTGAGGAAAAAATTACGGGTTTGTAAGGGATTTGATTTCGTGGATGAAGAATTGTTGCGTATAGTTACATAAATGGAATTTTACCTTTCGTGGTGGACATGAATTCGCGTTATTCATCTATTGTTAGATCTTCTCGTACTCCAGTCACATAAATAAAATTGAACTAGGGGATAATAAAACATAACATACATTATTTTGCTTTTTCCAAATGTAAATATTGAGTTGTGTGCAATCGAATTCGAAATTTATTGTCAACATCAACTATATTTAGCTATGTAGCTTGAATAATGCAGTGAAATCGACAATTACAGGTTTACGTTTCCACGATCATTCTCGGAATTTTTCAAGCATGTACATTGTATTTAAACATTTACTTCTCAACAACACTTGTACAATCACAATATTTAGCTACATGGGCGGATCTAGAAGGGCGGTTAAGTCGGGGGAGAGTTATTAAAAGTATATTCTGAAGCAAAAACAAAAAAAAAATTGGACCCCCCCCTTTTAGAAAACGTGGACCCTACCACCAGCATCACGAAATAGTGAGGGGGTTTTCACATATGGGAATGGACTTTCAGTTTGTTTTTGTTTTTTGGCTTGTCAAAATATTTCAAATATTTCTGGATTGAAATTTTTTGATTGTGGTGGACCAGCCCCCCCCCCCCCCGGAAAAATCCCTGGGTCCGCGCCTGAGCTTGACTTACCTATGTACAGATGTACAGTGAAGTAAGGCAAGTAATAATTCATATCAGGATCGACATGCACACGAAATAAATTTGTTAACATATCGGCTTTTGTCTCTTCTGTATATACGCCCTACCCTCATTCGGTAGAGCGCTTGCTCCTTGATTGGAAGATCGCGATTTCAAGCCTCGGCCACCGCGACAAACCCAAGTCGAGAAACAACTGCTCCAAGCACTCAGCACTTTGAAGTATAGTTGCCAGGTTTTCGGATGAAACTTATTAACCGAGGCTACCTGTCACGGAAGGCATCAAGAATTTCAAAAGGGCCCCGAATGCCGAGTAAAGGTCTAAATTTGAAGCCCTTCACTGGTATCTATATGCATGTACGTCTCTTATGAATGAAATAATCTTTCAAGGGAAGTAAATCTGCAAACAATCGATCGAATCAGTAAAATTATGGTTCTACACAAACATTGCCCCCACCCCCAATTAAAATAATTTTACAGTAGCAGACTAATGAGAAAGTTTTTACTAATTTTTGTAATTCTGCAAAATTTTGAATTCACGCCAGACTGTGTTGAATGTATATATCATTGCTTTATAAAACCTACCCTCTGATACGAACAATGTTTGGTGGTTCATTTGACTTGACACTGCAGTCTACAGCTGTGTATCCCGGGGCACATTTACATTGACCAAAAAGGCAAGTCCCTCTCTGACTGCACTGATTAGGACAAACGTGGTCCGTGACGTCGAGAGGGGGAATCAAATCTCCATCTGGGCTCTTTTTGTAGTTTGATATGTTCTTCATAGCCTCGTTTTGACACCAGCTATCGAATGCGGCCATTTGTGTGACAAGGAACAAATCACTTCCGGAGGCCTGTTATATTAAAAAGCATAATGGTATCATAATATTGACTAATGATTCTATTTTATTGTTTATTGAACTTTTGGAACTTTTAGGAACTTTTGGAAAATTTGAAATCACAAGATTTTACCAAAATCAACAGCTGTTTATTGAACTTTTGGAACTTTTAGGAACTTTTGGAAAATTTGAAATCACAAGATTTTACCAAAATCAACAGCTTAAAAACTTACGACTTTTCAACTTTATACACAACCATTCCCCACGATAAATTAAAGTCCAGACTTTTTGATATCATTGACAGCTGCTTTTTCAATAAAAATGGAACTCGTAAAATTAATATACTTACCTTGTCATTGGTCATTTGCAAAATTATTTTGTTAAAAACATTCTGATTGTACACACAAGAACTCTGAAGTTGACATTAAAAAGATGCTTGAGGTTCTGATTGACAATATCTATGTGGTTTTTGGAGACCAGGTCTTCCAACAATCTCTTGGAATCCCCATGGGTACCAATTACGCCCCGTTATTAGCAGACCTTTTTTGTATTCATATGAAGCAATTTGTCCAAAATCTTGTACGTGAAAAGAAGAAAAAAGAAGAAAACACTTGCTGTGGCCTTCAACTCGACATTTAGATATATCGACGACGTATTGTCAATTAACAATGGCTATTTCCATTCTTATGTCGATACGATATATCCTGGTGAACTTGAGATAAAAGATACCACAGAGTCTGACACATCTGTTTCGTATTTGGATATTTTACTTGAAAAAGACGTTAATGGTAATCTAACAACTAAGCTTTATGATAAACGTGATGACTTTAACTTTTCAATCGTCAACTTCCCTTACTTATGCAGCAATATACCTTCATCACCTGCATACGGGGTATATATCTCTCAGTTGATTCGATACGCAAGAGCATGCTCTACGTATGTTCAATTTCTAAAACGAGGTAAATTATTGACAAATAAGTTGATGAAACAAGAATATCAGCTGTCTCGTTTAAAGTCATCATTTCGTAAGTTCTATGGTCGATACAATGACCTTGTCAGCAAATACAATTTATCATTGAGTCAAATGCTGACTGACGTTTTTCATACAAATTGTTAGGCCATTATTTACACACTGAATTGTCGACGGATTTTTCCGTTATTTCCCGATCATGACAAGGAGCGCACGGCGGGTGTGACCGGTCGGCGGGGGATGCTCGCTCCTCCATGGCACCTGATCCCGCCTCTGATGTTTGGAGGTCCGTGTTTGCTCTGCTCCTATTTTGTGTTGTTTAATGGACTTTTGAGCTTGAATACTGTTCGTTACCTCCATATATTTCATTGAAAATGAAATTCATTTTTGCCCTAAAAGATTATTGTTTACTCTTGTTTAGTAATTAAAAATATCATTAGGGAATCTGCATTTCTTCTTCCCTTCTTCTTTAACCTACATGTACTTGAATATTTTGACCAGTTATGTACATGTAGATTCCTTATTTTACGCCAGTACTTAATATTGCGAAAAGTCTCGCAGACATCAAAACACTAGTGGGTTATTTACGGTTTTTACATATACCTTCCAGCAGTATCATAATTTGTTAATGTTTACAAGAATGTTAAAACTTTTTGAATACAAGATGGTAATCAAAGTAAAACAAATTGTCAAAAATTTATACAAGAACTGATGGTTTAAACGTTTTGCACTTATATAAACGGAGACTATGACGTAGTTAAACAGAGTCATGTGACCATGTGTCCTTCATTGCTCCAAAATTTGACCGCCAAATTTCTCATTAGATGATTCTCTATCGTACAGAAAGTACTGTACCTTTACATCCTCCATACAGGAGTCAATGAGTGCTGTTATATTCATTCCCGGTTCATGATGACAGCGGGTGTACAGAGTGGATTTTCCAAGACCATCAACACAAACCTTCTTTGCCTGTGTTTCGTTAATTCCTGTTCCGGTGGGGAACACATCGCGTGGTTTGTAGTTAAAGTTTTCTACAAACGGAATAAAGTGGACCCCAAGGTAAGGTAGGGCCACATTAGGGAATTTTGTATTGCACACCATTTTTTGTATTTTTAACAAAAGATATTTCAGGAAAGATAATGGTTCAAAGTAAAAGATATACCTCTCTTCTGTGTGATGACGTCATCGACTGCTTCTTCGCCGTCTAAGTCATCATCAGAATAACGTCTGTAGCGGTGTCTATTTAATTTGGATGCTCTCACAGATTTACATTTTCCATTGCAATTCTGTAAAGACAAATGTATGTTGCATTTGTTATCAGAACCATTTTAATGTCTAGTCGGTTAATCACAGTATAATGAAACATTCCTGTATCAGTAACTTTCATACTTGATTGTTATTTCTTACATTTTTATTTGGGTTTTTTGATTTTTTGGTGCAATCAACTCTTCCATTACTACAGGTGCAGTACGTATGTTGGGTGGAATAAAAAGGCTGATAGCTGAGGATTTGGTTAAAAAGTCTCTCTGATGATTTAACTCTAGAATAAAAATATTACAATAAGAAAAGTTATTCACTACATCAGATATCGCTATATTAAATAAATCTTAAAAATAGTTATATTCATTTTATTAAGAATTTTTTTATTACCGCCATGTGTTGGCAAACTCGGTGACCTGCTTATGTGAGTAATGTCTTCCGTCAGCCCCTACTAGATCGTCATTGGGATTGTCGTTCCAAAGGCCACATATTCCTTGACCACATCCTTTATTGTCAGGAGGGGCCTGAATATCTACATTAATCATTCCGTCCTTTTCATGTGGATGACCGTGGGGGCTCAGTACATAGGTACTGGCAAAGACGCGTGCACCGGATGGAAAGTTAATCTGCAAGTCAATTTAAACAAGACATTGGGTGTAAGTTTGTTTTCTCTTACGTAATTTAGAAAAAAAATGGGAACTGATTTTTGCATAATCAGAATATACCCATATTGTCTATCTCTAGCTGCAGAGATGTAGCTCCCCGGAAAAGAAAATTCGGACAGAAATCTACAGATCCACCCATTATAAAAACCTGCGATTTATGGTGACACTTTTTTGTCGCGCGTTTCGGCTATTTTTCTCGCATTTTTTGCATTCTCACTCCTCTGAAACATTGTTTCCGCTGATTAAAAGTATAATTTACTTCGATGCTTATTACCTCAATTACATTTTAAGTTCCAATCGGCCGTCTTTAGGCTTGGAATGAAACTGTTTCAAAAAACTTGCTACTGACAGTCATGTTGAGGTCATACTAAAATACGCCTTTAGTTTTGAGAGAGTAAATTATGACTGGCATTCCTAATGAGAAACCAATGAACGTACGAAGAAGCTCTTTCCACTTTGGTCCCTAGACAGCGTGGTTCCATTTAGTCCACGTTCGGATAAAATCGTGACTTCCGGTACAGCATGTTTGTTCCTTCGTCTCTCACACATATCAATTTGTACGGCGTCGTTACCCTCTCTAGCAACCAGAGCACATATACAGGGGTGATAATTCCCACAAGGCCATGTCTTCACCTGGACCTACAGTTGTTTTGAAATGGGGAAAGAATAATTTATACTCAGATTTCATTCAACTTTGTATAATTGTACAGCATTGTAGTTTTCACTGTTTAGTACCTGCAGAGGATTGCTGGCTGATTTGCATTCATACAGTGTCATTTCACCAGTAACATAAACGTTGGTGTTCCTATGGAATAATTTGAAATGGCCATCTTACAAAACAGCTTGGATAATCGTACATCATGTATCAGACGATATAACTTAATATTTACATTTCCAAATATTTTTCCTTAAGATTCTTTGCAAATTAGAAAAAGTTCATGTTCTCATGAACAACCGTGGGACGAGTAAAAATATTTCCATAGTGATGTGATTGAAGTAAAAAAAAAATAGTGCAGACTTTTTTTTCAAAAATGATCGTTGAATGACAAAAATATGTGGCAAGTCATCAGAAAAATAATGTATATATAAGATAGGAATTTACTTTTGAGAATTCATGAGGTACATGTACATGAACTACAACGCTTCACGCCTGCATATTTATCATGAAGCGCTAACGCGCTCCATCAAATACGCAGGCGTGAAGCATCGTAGTTCATGTCCACATGAATTCTCAAAAAGTAAATTCATCTCTTAACACAATACCTTTTATGGTCCATTCCTATTACGTGGGGATCCCCGTGGGCGTTACAGTGGCCATGCTCACTGCTTACTGTTGTCACCTTTGAAAAAGAACAAGCCTCTATATATATATATATATATATATATATATATATATATATATATATATATATATATATATATATATATAGTTGCCGTACACTAACCATGACTTAGGGTTTCCACCTAATGATAGAACTTACAGGATTAGTGAGTAGTAATATGACGTAACCGTAAGAACAGTATCAAAAACATACCAATACATGTAGGTTATAAAGGCAAATTCGTCAATCTTGTTCAAAATATTCAATCGATTTTTTTTTATTTTAATTTATAATCAAATTAACAACGTCATAGAAGCCAGGTCGTTCTTACATGGATTGGATGTACGTTATAGCCCATCCATACTGGATGATTGAAGTCAACGATTGGCTTAAACGAAACTTCGTGTGTTTGAGTTCCATCGCTAACAAAGTCCTTTGTGGCTGTCACTTTAAATGATCCCAGGTATCTTCCGGTCACGGGGTCAAGTTTGATATCATAGCTACAGGTTGAAAACATGGCATCTGGAACCGTAGAAAGTTGCGAGTTAAAACATGTCGTTTAATGCAAAATATATGCTCCCCAATTAACAATTAATTTCCCCTTTCTTTTTTATATATTGTAACAAATTTGCTAGCTGGGAATAAACTCTTTCTTATTTTGACCGATTCATGACGTTCATACAAACTGTGATATCTATCACTTAGAGTAAGGAAAAATGAGACAACCTTTAGTGTGTGTATCCACACTGAAGCTTATTTTACATTCGTCTATGTGCGCAGTGTTGCACGGAACCGGAATTGTGGACTCCACCTGGACCGTCTTCTCCGGGCCTTTTTCATCCACAACGATTTTTTCTGTTAGGACCTACACAGGTATATATGTGCAACTCGATAGAATAAGTGTAAAATATCATGTACATGTAATCCTTTAATAATTGCTAAATTAAGAAAAATAAGCTTCAAATTAAATAAAGATGAAATTTCTACTAAAATTTCTAATACCTTGATTCCACAGTAGTATCCATCACTTGTGATGCTGTCGCTCTTGATAATTGTAGTGTTTGTGTAGTAGCTACGGACCCTACACTTCAACTGAAATAAAAGCCAGAGTATTCTTATAACATATCAAAAGCTTCTTATGGGACAGTATAGCTCTTCTGGTTTGAATTTACGATGTTCTTAGAGGTATGGTCACTTCTTACATATCTGTTTGAATTATTATTTTTTTCTGAAGTGACAACACTTCGTATTTTAAAGACTAGCAATCTGAAATTCTTTTTCTTAAAAAGGTAGATATTAGCACTACAGTGACATCCTCATCGACATGAAAAATCAACAAATAATACAGAATTAAATGTCTTGCATGTTTCTCTATGTTTGTACCAAATTGACCATGCTTTATTGAAATAAGGCCAAACTAGAGGAGTAGACGCATTTTGAGATAATCTGCTATTATATTTTATTTATATTTGAAACCATAAAAATGTCGTACATCAATATTTAAAAAAACCTAAGGATGTGTTTTTATGTAGATTTTTTTTTTATCTTGATGGTATTTGCAATAATCGAATAAATACTGTGTCATGAAAAGTGTTTAAAAAGATTTAAACTATTTTTCCATTTTTGATAATCTTAAGAAATCAACATTCGACACTTGGAAAAATCTAACTTTATATAGTATAAGTAAGAAGTAGGAGTATGCTTACACATGAACCGACAGACATACGGACACCTGCCAATATAAGATCATCTGATCTTTACCTAGTATAGCTTAAAATTGCAGTCATTGTATTTAATTACACGTACATCCGATGATTTTTTGAAGAGGAATATTCCTGAATAAAAGACTAGTCCCAAAAAACAAAATAGATTTTATGCCCATTATTCAAAAATCAAGGCCCGCACTAGGCCACTGTTCAAAGCAAATTTGTTTACCGTTTTGCCGAAGTTTCCTTTCAACTTATTGTAATCAAGGTATACTGTTCTTGAGTCGCCGGTGAGATGTTCGACAATTAGTGTCCCTGTGTCAGGATCCACCAATGTTTGGCCATCAACAGTCCACGTGACTTCAAACCCAACATCCGGTTGACCAGGAGGATATTGCACATCACACGGGAACCTGACCGTTGTATTCAAAACAATTTCCGGTTTTCTGAGCACAGGAAAGCTGGTCATTTTGGGATAGAGATCTATTTTGCAGATCATTTTTAATAAGTTACTAATTCAGATGGCGTTACTTATCAATCGTATTTAACTTATCACCACAAAAATACAACGACAGGTAGAAGTTTTGAAGACTTTTATGTAGGAAAACATCATACCTTTGCATTGTCCTCCAGAATTCCCAACATTGCACGTGTATGTCTCCCCTTTATAAATACATGAAACCATAAAAGCATTCAATATTCGGGATAAACTTCTGAAACTTTTTTTGATTACAGGTACCTACCTGCACAGTACGCAGCGGGGCAAAATGGCGTTGGTTTAAGGTAATACACGTAGAAAGATCCACAGTTTTTGACTTTCATGTCAAGAACAATCTCGCAGCAAAGAACATTGGTAGAGTGGGTGAGCGCAATGCAACCATGTCTGTTTACGACCCCATCCCTCACAGATGGCAATTGACCCTTCATCCAAACTGGGAACTTGGTACCACAGTGGTATTTCGTAACGCAGTGATTAGGAATTGTGTCATTCCCTCCATTAAAAACATACCAACCTGTCATAAATTATAAGGTCGTGTGCTTGAGAAAAAGTTTCTTATTTATAATAAAACCAAAAAATTAAAAAAAAAAATAAATAAAATGACTAAGACTTTTCATCAGCTTGCAAGTTACAGGGAAATATATTAAATGACTCGTACTTTGGTTAAATCCCCACCAACACTGGGGTTGTTATGAGGAGTACATGTTCTGTACAACTCTATAAAATCTCCTCATAGGGGTACGGTAAATGGGGGGGGGGGGAAACAAATAAACATGCAAGCCAATTGGAGACTTTTCAAAACAAAAGCGAAAAGTGCAACAACACTTAAATGATTCTAAATCACTTTACCTTCTTTCATTTGATGGTCACAGTTCTCCTTGTCTGTTGATTCTGGTTGAAATAACGCACTTCTGTGAGGATCGTCATGTGAATTATAATGGAGGCATGGATCAAGACTATGAACTAGACGAGAGGAATAGACTGAGATCAAATACTATCATAGTGATACTGCAAATAATATACACATGTAAATTGAACCTTAATGATAAAAAGAGTATTCGATTGTATTTTACTTGGGAGAAAATATCTTGTTCGCTTACTGGGAGAAAATATCTTGTTCGCTTACCAAGGACTAAGGGAAGAAATAATAACTGGAGACCGACCATTGTGTGAGTGATAGCGTTTTCGTCGTGTTCTTCTGCTTAAATGATAAGGAAGTACTAAACTGGCATCAAGGTCAAATATCAGCACAGACAAACGCCCTGTAGAATACCGTATTTGTCGATTTTGTGACCCGTAGCACGTAGATACTAGTATACGAAACCCAAGTAGACAAAACGGTGCGTAAAGAATTGTTGTTCATGGGCCTTCAACCACTTTTCATTATTTTTCTACTTGAGATTGCAATTTCATGTCAGATTTCTCAGTTTTCATGTGTGTTATATAGCTTCATTATAGAATAAATTTGGTTAAGATTTTATGTTTTTAGAGTTATCCTTCGTAAAACACAATAATTTTGCACAATCCACAAGCCATGGATTTTTCAAGAAATATAGTATTCAGGTTTAATAGATCATTATTATATTTTAGTTTGAAAAAAAAAAATATTACTCTTGCACAAATTAAAAATAAAAGATATTTTAAGCTTTTTAATATTTAGGTAATGCGTGGTTTAGGAGTAAGACAAAAACTCATACTTGAACCATTTTGTGAAGCTGAATCTTTTCTCCCATTTTTTTCTTCTTCATTTCTATCTCTCTTCTGTTGGAATGCTTCATCTGAACGAGGCGTCAAACAACATCCAATCAATCAATCAATCATAAGAGAGACCGAAACTGCAAACTTTAAAAAAAAAAAAGAGTACAAAAACCAAGCAATCACAATTTAATTTAAAAAGAGAGAGAGAGAGAGAGAGACGCTTGTTTCATATGTACAATGCTCGGAAATTGGAAGTTATGCCTGAAACGAATGGGGAAGTCGATTTCCACTCCATGCAGGAAATAGAGGAGAAAAAGAAATGAAGAAAAAAAAGAAAAAAATCTAGATTTTTTTTTTTCATTTTTTTATCTTCTTTATTTCATTTCTTTTTCTCTTCTTGCAAAGCTTATTTATTAATTAATGGACGTACTGCTGGTATTCACACCGTATGAAACTCTTGGAAAGCGCTGTACTGGTGTGATCAGTAAATAATGTAATAGAAGACTATGCATCAAGCCTCATGGCGGCTGTGAGCGGTCGACAGGGGATGTTTTAAACTCCTAGGTACCTGTAACCTTTTCACAAAATATTTTACGAATTAGACAAATTTATTCCAACTATCAAAGAAATATCTTAACAATAGAAGTCTATTGCATACTAAGAATATAATATGATATGAATATCATTTAACAAAAAATATCTTTATGAAACAAAGGAATTACAAAGTTGTCAACTTTTTATCTTTAGTGAAAAGAGGATACCAGGTACACATTTTGTATTTTCGTGGGTTCGTATTTGTGCCCCGTTGGCGATGATTTTTTTACAGGATATATTATATAACTTTACCTTTTTCATTTGCAAGAAAAAGAATACACATGCGTACACATGAAATATTTTTGAAGAACCTTTCTATCGTGTACAAGTGATTAGTTTTCCAGAAATAAATTCATTGCGAGAAATTTTAAGAATTAAAATACACTGAATTATCTTGAAATATTTTTAAAACGGATACTTTAGTGCATTGTAATTTTTTTAAGTAGCCTTTAGTGAAATAAATAAACACTGCTCTATTTCAAAGTTTCTCCTAAAAATACGAAATCTTCATAAATTAACAAAACATCTTAAGTGTACAAATCATTTTCCTTGTTCGAATGCCATTTTTAATTTGTCGTTTACAACATATTCCTTATCAACCTGCTTACACTAAAACTTCAGCGTTGCTGTACAACATACGTATCTTGTACAGTAATATGTTGTAAATCAGTTCGTTATACTAATTGCATTTCTTTATTAAATCTAAACTCTATTAAAGAAAATTGCTGGCTAACGAAACACTTACGTAAATTTGTGAAGCTTGTTCTAAACCATTTGGTGTTTCGAAAGCTTTCAGACTGAAAAGTTAAAAGACCTTAAGGTGAAATTGACATTTAGGAAAATTATAAACTCTCTGAAATGTTATTCTTTATCCTTTCAATGGTAAGTAAACACGTATGTCTTACTTTTAAAATATGTTAGATATATAATATCGATTTTTTTTTTCTTCAAAAAATCGATTCATAAGTTTACACAATTAAAAATGAAATAATTCATTTATATTGCTTGAGTGAATATATTTTGTTTGAAGAAAGGGGAAACGACACTGACCAGAATGTCTGGAAAAAATGAAGATAAACAGGTTTGCGTATAATGGTTGTTCGCTATGATCTGAATTTTTTTGTGCAACACGTTTTACAATTCAGAAAGAAATTTTAATCACGTGACTCTTAATCGCTTCCAACAAAAACCAGAATTGTTGAAACAACTGCACGGTCAATTTGACCAATCAGAACCGACATAACCGTGAATATTTCCAATCGTTTTTCAGATATAGTTTTAGCTAATTGAGCGAAATTTATTTGAAGTTAATAGAACGAAAATGTTGAGGCCTCATATTTTGTAGAAAACATCTTCCTTTCTTTTTTATTTTTAAAAACAAATAATTCAAGAAAGTTTATTGATTTTACAGATTTAAATTATATTTGAGGCCTGAAATATCCTTTAAAGAAATTAATTTTTAGCAAAATTAGAAAGGAACACACATTTTGATTAATATACCTTTTCCTTATAAATAACTGAAGTCATTTAGGACAAAACTTTTGAAGTTATCTTCATTAATTCAACAATTCGAAGCAATCTGGATGATCATAATACGATAATTGATACATGTATATGTTACATGAGTCCAAAACGGATATGTTTTTTAAAATTACATCATAATGAATTTTTATTTTATTGGAAACTATTTCTTGCTGCGAACATTTTTTTTTCAGTCGAATAAGCACATTTATTGAGACTCTAAGCTGTATTCATACATCGAAGAAAGATGCTGGTTGAATAACGATTCTAAAAACTAGTTCGCTAAATAATGTAAGTGATTTTGGACCAAATCGCCATAGTTACTATTCCATTGTAGCAGTTATCTCTCTTTTTAAAAATTTCTGTTATAAAATACATTTTTATTTTAAAAGAAAAAAGCTTAACACTTAACAACTTTAAGCAAATTTACAGTTTCTATTGATATTATTATTATTTTACAATAGACAGATCTTCATTAGTTGTAAACTTCAGAATTACTTCTATGGATTTCCAAGTTTTTCTTTTACAATGCCAGTCACTTTTGTCAGGACTTTAATTGAAAGTATGTTATAATTAAGGTATGTTATAATTAAGGTTGCAATATAGTACATGAGATATTTGTATATATATTTTGTACTTTGATATTTAATATTTTGTATAATATACGAGTTTAAAGTTTTAAGTTTAAATATGATATTATACTATTTTATGACACATTTATTATGTGCAATAATTTGTAGAGATAACAAAAAATTGAAAGTGAGGCGAAATGTTTCCTCCATCATTTGGTAGTTTACGAATTTAATAAGGAAAAATAACTTTAGAACATTAATTTATGTTTACACATTATAATCTTAAATATCGATAGGAACAATTTCATTTCCCCCTCGTTGTTTTTTTTGTAAGTTAATCAAAAGATTTCTTTAATTAGGCCCTCGGAACTTGAGTATAAATACCTTTTAAAAATCGCTGAACTTGACATAATTTTATCTTTATCACTCAGTACCTTGTAAATACTTTGTACTGCAGAAATTAAAAATCGTTTAGAATTCTATTTAACAGTCTCTTTTCCTTACTTGATTTTTTTTATCAGACATTTCTTTTAAATGCTTGTTTTCGTGGTCTTTTTGGCAATGCTGAATTAATTTGATGCATTAACAAACTAAGAATACTTAGTACCGATTTTTTTTTTTTTTTTTTTTTTTGGATTTGTTTATAATAGATCCGAAGACGAAAAACTGAACATTTTATTTTCGCTCGTGTATTTGGAAGAAAGAAATGAAAAAGGTTAAAATATACATAGGAGTATAACTCAGCATATATCCATATTATAATAGTATTTAAAAGAAAATGAAAGAATGCAACAAACAACAGAAATGAAAAAGATTTTTTTTTTTAAGTGCAAATAGACAAATATGCACGAAATATACAACATGTACATGGAAATGCCGAGACATAAAGTGAGTATGATGTTAAAATATTGAGAAGTTTAATAAGAATTAAAAATGAATAATTTCAAAGAATTCAGTTTCTGAATACATGTACGTAATTTTTAACAGGGTTGTTACAATTTTTTAAATCAAAGAATTATCACCTTTACATTGATAACCATTATTAAATTCAGACGCGTTTGTGTTTGATAAAAACGTTTCCATCAAGTCTTATCATGCAAACTGCACAAAGCTAGAAAACATTGTATGAAAATCTCAACCCCAAACAATATCATTGTCATTATGGTAGAAAATAGAAAGATATCAAAACAATTCGCGCCAAACTCTGTCAGAAAAGAGAAAAGTATATGAAGATGTTTCGGCCAATTAGAAAAGCCATTAGGTAAGAGACGTCGAGTCGCGCGCAGATCTTTGTAGTTCCCGGGTCTGGGGCCGTGGCGTTACGGTGGCGTGTGATCGATGGCGGCGGTGTCTTTCACCGTCACCGCTTCCTTCTGGTGTCTGTGATTCTCCGTAAGGGTTATCTGTTTCACTATCTACCTCCAGATAGGACAAGAAATATCGGTGTTTGATGTAGAAATATCTTGGAACGCTGCTGCACAGCAATGGAATTCTCCTAATTCCGCTGGTTCCGCGCATCCTCTATTCTGTTTGCATGAATGCATTATCAGATTATGGAATCGAATAACTTTTATATCAAAAAATTTTCTTTCTTTTTCCACTCGAGTGATATCTTCTGTGTACGAATATTATATATTGCTGTTTTTGGTTGTACTCGAAAAATAATTTTATGCATTATTCGATTTATTTTTTTGCATCCATTGTAATTGACATCTGAATTCTCGAATATCTGTTTCTCTCTATGCAGTGCCAAATAATTAAACAGTTTTTAGTATTAGTTTTAAACAAACAAATACCTGCTTTCGCCATGTTCGCTGTGAACACAAATCACAATTATAACTTGTCCGTAAATTCAATTACAGACATGTGTCATTATATGTAGCAGAATTTTGTGAAATGCTGAAAGAAATAAAATATATATTTATATATTTTTCTCATCGATTTTTTTTTCTCATATGGATGGCATTATTGTTTGTTTGATTTGTTGAACCACCCAACATATCAAAGCAAGTAAAAAAATGATCATGTTTGTTCATACAGTAAAATGTACATGTATTTTTCTTTGGGCCAAAGTACATTTTTTCGGGGTTTTTATAACTTGTAGAATTTGCAGAAAAACTGTTGTGCTATATAACCGAGAAGCAATCATGTCATGTTATTCGGTTCTTTTTCACAAAAGAAAAATTTCACACAATTACCAAACCATTTTTGAATTTTATTTGAAAAATATAAATATAAACGATATGAAATATGAAGAAGAGAGTAAAACTTTCAACAATTCTAAGTCGTTAATTCTTCGTCAATTTTTGCTCAGATTTGCAGGAGAGATAAAAAAAAACCAAACATATGATGTTCTAACACTGATCTCATGGAAAAATTATTGGATCTTACAAATCTGGCCGTGATAACTTATCTGAAAAACAGCTAATCAATCTGTAATTATGCATATTAATTTCCGGAGAAAAATAGAAACTTTGGTATACTTTTTTGAAATTAAACACCAAAATAAAAAAAAAAAGATTTTTTTTTCTCAACCTAACTTTTTCACCATAAAAAAGTCTAGTGAATTACAATGCAGCAAGGTTTTTATTTTAAATTTCATTAAGAATACCAATTTTCATTTAACTGTAGGATGTGCATAACGTGGATTTTTTTTAAAAAAAATAAAGACCGTCACAAGCTCTAAAGTTCTCCTGTATATCTATTTTGACATGTAAGTTATATTTAACATTACGAAAACGTCAACATATCTCTGAGACGTTCTTGATTTAGCAGGTCATTAATTGGGTATTGTGTGTAAATACTATGGGCTGAAGTTGATTCTGGAGGTTCTCACAGAAAATCATTACCCCCCAAAAAAGACACTAAAACAAACAAAAGGCAAAAACGGTTTCTGTTTAGGAACTGCATGACTCTGGGTTAACGACCATTTGATGGCTGAATGTACTAGCGGGGGACGTTCCAAGACATTACAACTACTTGATTCGAGCAGACACTTAAAGAGGAACTATGTCGTCAGATTATAACGCCACCTGCCGGAAAGTCGTAGCTTCGAAGCTTCTGCATAATAAATCTTTGTGTGTTCGCTGTTTTCGCTTGCCCGTCGTTTTATACTTTAGTATTATTTTATTCTTTTTCGTGTATTTGAAAACATAGTAAGTCACCTGCAAATTCGGTTTACGATAAAGAACTAAGTTGACCTACACCTACATGACCCGAGTGAGCACCATTCTAACTATATATAATGGCTTGGGTCATTTAGTATTTACAAAGTGAGCCAGACAAAAAAAGTGGTCTAAAACGGTTCAATGCGACAACACTACATTACATCACTGCATTAACATGGAGTTTTGATTGGACAATACCACTGTGTCATTGTAAAAGGCAATCCCTATTTTCATAAGGATTATTTAAAATTGAACCCAAGAAATGCAATGCAGTACAAAATTAACCCATTTCTGAAATCATAGGTGTTATGTCCAGAAATTGGCGTGTTGTTTGACTAACGGTTATTTCCAATGGAACCAACACTCGAAACTTATGAAAGATTCAAGCTTCTACCGCAGTATTCTTACTTCCTTTTAACAGAGTTCTTGGTCATTATAAAAAAAAATTACAAAAACCAAAAAAAAAAAAAAAAAAAAAAAAAAAAAAAGATAGTGACTCCGATCATAAAAAGTGAATATGCAATGAAAACATGAAAGCAAGATTTTCTGCAAATAATTCTGGCACTATACTAAATTATACTATTAAAAATCTGCATTATAAAGCAACAATTCTTGCCTACTATGGCTCTCATTTTATAGAAATTTAATATTTTCACGCTCCTATACCTTTTAAACAAAATCAATCATTCCAACAGGAAGAGTGATGTATTTCTCTCTCAGATGAATCGGAGAGTTCCTGCTCCAATTTAATAGCAGACTGATACAGTGTCGTATAAGATAAAATCGTATATCTGTTCTTAAACGGTTTGATGTCGATAACATAATTACTACAACAGATTTCTCAGCTTGGGAACTATCATTCAGGAAAAAAATATCTTTTCAACCAATTGAAACAAAAAATAAAAGTTTAAACTTTTCTTCGAGTACTAATGAACTTATCTTTAAGTCTCGTTTTTAAGGAATACATTACCATCAAAAACTACAGGCAAAGATTATTCCAGTACATGTGAGTTTAAATTATACTAACTCATCTATGTACAATCAGAGACATATATAATTATTTATGTGTATAGATCTGGTACAATGCATTTATGCCAATTATAAATATTATGGAATTAAGTTCAAGATATATTTCGGGACATGTAGGGAAGGAAATTTTTTTGAGTTATGAAAGAGAAAAGTGAATCAAATGTTTACTATCTGAAAAAAAAAGAATACTTTGAGAAATACGTTTTTAACCACACACAGTAAAATAGTATTGTTTTGTAAGCCGTGGTAACAGCTGGGTAAGGAACTAAATAAGTCAAGGACAAAGGCAAAGGATATGATATTAGATTTTGCACTTTTAAAGCATTAATCTTTCTCAAGATTACAGCATGTTTTTGTGTTAAAGTAGAAATTCCTGATGACTTGAAATGTTGTTTTCCTCTTGAAGCATTCAAACGTTGTTCCTTGTTTGTCGACCTTGTGTCTCCTGTCTCTGACAACTACAGGAACCTCATCTTTATCATCTCTGAAGAAATCCATTGTTCCCTTTAGAAATTGTCCGATGCAATTATTAAATATCTTAATAAGTGTTCAAATTTAGTCATAACTCAAGTTTTCAAAACACTGGAAAAGAACACAACACTGCCAGAAAACCGATCTTCACCGGAAGTAATTAGTATGTCGCCATTGCAATTACTCGGTCCGCCATATTGTGCGTGGGGATACCTCAGCGAGACACGGAGTGAATCTGCCTAGGTAGGGTTCATTTACGACGACCCTTGTGATGTTCCACTGGTGTCTAGTAACCGCTAATTTCGCATGACATTTTACGAACCGTAAATGTATTAGAAGATTCTAAAAACGCTTCATGTGTTTTGCAAAATATTATTCATTTCACTTCGAATTAATCTAGTTCAGAAAGGAGAAGCGCTTCGAAACAGATTATTACTGAAAATCTATCCATAGTGAGACACAGAAATCAGAGTTTATCCCTCCCACTCTTACAACTCAAGAATAAAACTTCTTTCATGTTATTTTGTTTCTCCTGGTGATTAAACGGACTGAAAGAAACGAAAACCTATTAGTGTTTAAAAAATAAAAAAAATAAAAAAGAAGAAGCCTAAAATTTTTTTCATGAATTTGTTGATTTATGTGCAATAATAAACGGTATTTTTTAAGACGTGTTTGATTTTTGAAATCTCATATCTTCCTCTAATTCTAGATCATTGCATTCTCTGCTTACTTAGCTTATTAAATCATGATTTCAGCAAGTATGGAAGACTTGCAATGATATGTTACAATAGAAATTTATATCCAACAGAAATGGCTCCTTTGTTTTGAAGAGATGAGCAATGATGTGAAATGAATTCGATCAATAAGAAACTACTTCACGTATAGCAAAAACATGACCATCCTTACCTTTCTCCATTGAAAGGTTGGTGTCATCCTACACAATGTAACAATTTTAAAGAATATGAAATTTATAGATATATTATTTGCTTTAAATTGTTATAAATTTAATATACCTGTTCAATGTATGTTATAAATAAATATGTGTGACATTGTATTCCGATTTCAAGCGCCCTGCGTTGTTCTGTAGTGTTAATTATTATATTGTTAAAGAGGGAGCTTAGTTAGGACCCCATCCCTGGAAGCTGCCCTAAATATCTCCTTTAATGTTATAGGTCTGGGAAATAAATGTTAAAAAAGTTGAAATATAGTGTCCATGTAGAAGTGACTGTCGTAATGAAACTTTGTGCTATGTCGCTCCACAACTAAAATTATCCTAGAAAGCCATTTCCTTCAGAAAATTTATTAAATAATTAAATAAAATTTAAAATAAAGTGTATGTATATAAAGCCTATACTCAGTAATAAGATTTCGAGCATTTGCCAATGATACTGTATCAATATGATGTGTGCATATGTTCCTTCAAACTGTATAGTGTCTCGATCCATACCACATATACATGTATACCTGCATATATCACATATCCAATTAATAGATAGTGATAATTTTAAATAAGTTTGGCATTATCTACTCGATCACAAATAATACAAGCCATGAAAAGTTTTTTAGGTCATCTGAGTCATTCAGGTGCCCTATTACTATCTGTTTTTGTCCATCGTCGTTCGTCGGTCGTAATGCTGGTGGTCGTCAATTTTCAGCTTGCTGAACGTCCTGGACATCTAGCAGTTAAACTGTTGGCATGATTATGTGAAACTCATGGCCCCTGGTTCCAGGGTTTAGGTACAAGATTAGGGCTAAGTTGGTCATATTTTGAAAAATGCATAAATTATATCTTTTTCTTTACTCAAGAACTCTAGAAGGCAAATCGTTTGCATGTTTTTATTGAGTACTCAACCTTTAACTAACGTTGTGAAATTCATATCCCCTTGGCCTATGTTTCAGACCCTAGGGTGAGGCTAAGTTGATCATCTATTGAAAATACATTAAAGTTGGAAAATCTTCATTTCTTCTCATGGAAAACTTGTTAACATGATTATGATACCCCGGTTAAGGCTTCATGGCTCCTGGGTCTAGGGTACAGACTCCAGGACTGGTCTTACTTGGATATTCATTACATCTTCGAAAATTTGTTTTCTTTTTCTAAAGGACATCTAGTGGGCAAAAATATATGGTTACAATGAGTGCAGAACTCTTTCATTTTCATTAAATCTTAAATTCATGTCCTCTTGTTCCAGCGTTCACACCCATGCAAGGGTGGGGCTTAGTTGATTACGAAGTGAAAATACATGGCGCCTTTGAAAATTTTCGGTACTTACGGACTTTTAGCAGATAAACTTTAAACATGACTGTAATGAGTAAACAACCTTTTACCAAAATTGTGATAGTCGTGGCCCTCTGCATCCAAGGTTTATGCCCCAGGATGAGGCTAAGTTGGTCATCTTACAAAACACATTATTTACAACTTTGAAAATGTTCCTCTTTACCCATTGACTTGTATCATGCAAATTATTTGCATGATTACAATAAGAAATTGAGAAATAACTCCCTTACTAAAATTTTAAAATTTATACCTCCTGCATGGTTTAACGTTCAGGCCCCAGAGTGGAGTTAATTTTGTCAAATTTTTATATACACTATAAATTTGAAGATCTCATTATTAACTTACAGCTTTCTTGAATATAATTAACTATAAGCCCTCTAACAGAATTTGAAAATTTATGTCCCTCTGGTCCATGGTTTTGGCGCCCGGGTTGGGCTATTGGTCATATACTGAAAATGCATTATGTCTTATAAAATCCTCTTTACTCATGGACACGAAGAAGGAAAATTATTGGCATAATTATAATGATAAGTAATATCCCTCTACAACAAACATACACAACTATAAACTTGATGCCTCCGGGACAAGGGACCAGGTCATATTGAAATATATCTTCTTTACTCCTGAACCTCTATGAGGCAACCTGCATGACTATGGCTATATAATCCTCACCAAACAGTAACATTTTCGTCACAAGAGTCTAAACCAGTTCCAAGCCCAAAGTACTCATAGCCCGAGAAATTCATGACACTCAGGTGACCGTCTAGGCCTTTGGGCCTCTTTTATATTAAATATATTTGAATAATAATAAAAATCCCAGTAAAATACAGGGTTGAACCTTTATAACCGCATGACTCCTTGCTATTTTTTTTTTAAATTTCCCCATTGATTTTGTCCTTAGTTGTCGTATGAGAAGGCGTGGCGTAGGAAAAGAAAGAGGGGCCAAGGGTAGGAAAAAATCAGAGGCCAGAATCGGAAAGTCTAAGATTATTTTTGTCTTGGATTACTTCCTTTCCATCATATTTGATTCATATATTGGGACACCATTAATTGCTGGTGGAAGACTACAACTTAGACTTTTACGCGGCACTTGAGCTGTGAGGTACTTTGATTTACAGTAGGACGTAACTCTCAGTTCTGAAGAATGAGACTAACTGCGCCACATAGACAACGTGAAATAGAAGAAAACAAATTGCTTCATTAGTTTCTGTAAAGTATGAAAAGAAATGAAAGAACAGCAATTATTACCAAGTCAGGACCCAAATGGGCATAATCATCCAACATATATGTTATAAGTGCAAAAAACAACACAAGAGTAATTCTTTGAGTACATACATGTATGGATATTGGTGGTATACCATTATTTCCAAATTTCAATATGTAGAGCATGTTTTATTATTATTAATGCAAGATACATCTGAACATATTATAAATCCTTAAGTATGCATTCTTATTTTATGTAAATATCGGTAATAAGTGTCTGTTTTTTTAGTGTGTATGAGACGATATTAAAAATGGAGCAACTGATCAATCTTGTGTAAGAAGTTTCTTTTTTTTCCTCAAATAAATGTACATATTTCATCTAAGCATAATGGAGGTGCACTTATATCAGTACAAACCGTGTCTCTGTCTCCGTGCAGTCTTACACGCTTCTACAATATACTTATGCAAACTGTTATTGAAAGTTTATGTGTCTTCCATGCAGCAACTAGAAATTAATCAATGGTAATATGTGGTTTGATTTTTTTTAACAGCTTAAGGACTGTTCCGTATAAATAGCCAAACTTCAGCTAACATTGATTCACAGATGAACTTTTTTTTCATGATGAATTTTTACTTTTAATATGAGGATCTTAAAACATTAAAATGCAAAGCGTCATCAAAACGTCTGTTGTAACATTCATCAAGTTTTCAACAAGCAATATTCAGAAATTTGAAACATTTCATCAGCTTTGTTTGATTTTTTTTCAGTATGCTGGTCCTTTGTAAAATCACTAAAAATGAAGTTATAATACCAAGAAAAGGAATGTGGAAACTAGTATAGAATTTTATTTATTTGGCAAAATATTTTTTTTTCTTATGCTATAAATCAACAACTGATGCTAGAAATCAATAATTATTCGAGAAAAGCAGATTGAGAACCCTTTTGCGATGATACATGTAAGTATTGTCGATTACACCTTAGACTGTTTTATTCACGTTCTGTTGTGAGTAACTGAGAACATGAGTCAACTGCTAACCTTATGAGCATTTCTTACACACGATTAATAACTCAGCTTTTAGCTTTTCAGTAGAAGGTTTCTTGATGTCCTTTTACAATAAATGGATGGGCCTAGGGACTTCTTGCGAATTGTGTTATGAATAACTTTTGCCATGTAACTTATTTATTCTTACATCCATTGAATATTTCTCCTTAAGTACTATTTTTTATTAAAACAATCAATTTAAATTAAACTAATTAGAACCGGTTTCTAAAAGCTATAAAGAAGTGAAAGAAGTGTGTTCTTCCATCAATGTAACGCAAGTATCTCGAAAGATATTATTGGTGCTGTTACACGAGTTGTTTCTCTTTGTTCTTAACCACTTTTGCGTTTTGCTAAAAGTCTATTTATCGCTTGGGAAATTTTAAGAATTTACAAATTATCATCTTCTTGTGAAATAATGCATAAACTCCCATTAATAAAGGTTTCATATTTTGTTGATGTAGGTTATCACACAAGGCGGAGTCAGACGTTCTCGCCTATCAAACGCACCGAAAAAATTCACACATCCTCCCAGCAACTGTCCAACAATCAATGTTTCATTCTGTAGATGACGACATCGAAAAGAAAAAAAACAAAACTATTTTTATGTACTTGATAAATAATTTTGAATTTTTGACTCTTTACCAAAATGATGTGAATGGTGACCATGACACTCTGCACACTATTTTAAGGTGAAAATGGTTTTAGCGTTTTTACCATTGCTTACAGCTGACCAAGAGATATACATGTATGTCCAAAGAGAAAAAAAGCTGATACATCTAACAATTCTTCTCAAAGCAACAACAACCACTGCATCTGTAGATTTTCAAGATAAGGAAATGCAATAAAAGACCTAAGTGTTGACAAGGCCTAATGCTTTGTTTTTGCCGCGGATTTTATAACGCGCGGTAGTAATTGACAATTAGAGCTTAACCTGCGGAGGGCAATCCACACGCGAAAGGATTATCTGTTTAATTGGTTGCTTTATCTGGTAAGTCACTAAGACAACCCTCAACCAAATATGCAGTGACCATGGTGTTGTGATCATAAGACATTTCTCAGACTGAAGTCTCCATCTGCTACCTTTGTGTTACATATAAACATTTCAAATGGATAACCAAAGCTTACTTGTTTAAAGAATCTTGGGGTAGGAAATTCACTCATCTGATATTGATCTTAGATCTTAAAAATAAGCATTGTCTAGCGTCGCCAGCAAAGATCACCAACTTCCGGTCAGAGAATTAGGATCAGCCTAACTACAGCAAAAACCCATAAAAATCAGAGATAAAATTTTTTGAAACCAAGAGGTAGAGATTGTTCCCAGGAACGGACACCCCAAGTCTCGCCCTGTCGTCCGTGTGTCTGTGATACCATCGAGCCGGGAAACCGCGCGGAAACAAACACTTAGCATGCTTAGTAAGGGTGCTCGGGACGGCATTTAATGGCTATCCATTTCGCCAAAGATATGTTCACAAGATATATAAAAGTCATGCACGATTTCTCATCTGTGCGCCATATGATTCTTGACGAGGCATTCTATGCATATCGCATCTGAAAATACCGCTTAATGTTTTACTATACCGCGGCACAATTTTTATACGAATTATGAATTTCAAACATACATTTCGTGGCACGATTTTTCGATAGTTCTAAAGTGCTTGTTTTTTAATGTGCAACTATCAAATATTATTCAAAGTGCAATCAGTATTTATCGTCATGTTTTGCAAAATTCATGCAATCTGATATCGTTTCAAATCCAAAGAATAAGGTCAGCGTATACAAATTGAATTGTTTTATGTTTTCACGAGTATATTACAAGGTTACTTCGATTTTTACATGGCAAATATTCCTCTTTGTCAACTTACATTATATTGAAATGTTCATAATTATTTTAGTGTAGATAATTCTTTTATTTTCCTTTCTCACTTTTTATTTCTATATAATATTCTTGTTAATAACATTAAGCATTATTATTTTATACAACTACATGTACAACGTATATCCCTTAAGAAAACTTTTGTTTTCAGACACACGTGTCCAATATTTCCTTTTCGTTTGGCAGAGAGCACTGGTGTTGGCATGGTGACAAAGAAGACATGTAAGCGCTCCTCGAAAATCCCATGGAACACAACATAGGCGGAGAGAGAGAGCGCATTAGACGTGTTCTTGGAATGTAACGGAAAAAACTGTAGAGCATACAGAATTAAATGAAATTGAACCCAAAGAACAGACTTCACAAAAATTATATATTTATATAACATTTTATTTTGCATATCTCCTCATTATAAACATTTAAACGGTATCAAAATATTCAAAATATATTTACAAAACGCAATTTGAGAGTTCTTCTGGAAAAGTCATAATATAAACAAGTGAAAATTTGAATATGGAGTGATATACATTTCATCTGAGTCTGGAAGTTCGTTGTTTATCGTTTTTCAAAACATTAATTGACAAGGCACAAATAGTTCATTTTACTAGTTAATTCAAATCAAATATTCTAAGACACGAACATTAATAAATCAGGAATTTCTTCACCATCCTTGTAAAAAACTAAAAAAAAAATGTGAAAACAAAAACTAATTTTGCATAGAGTTATTTAGATAATAAAACATGCAGGATTTCCATCCCTCTTAAATGAAAAAATCTAAAAACACGTCAATAAAATTATCTGGAAATTTTAACAAATCGTGCACACGTATTTGTCTTTTTCATCGAGAAGTTCATAATAAAATTCATTTCCCAGCTTTGCACATGCACCTTTTTTCTACATTTCATTTCAAGCAGATAAAATGTACATGTAAAAATGACAATATCAATATTCAACAAATATGAAACAATTAATATATCTACACATTTAATTTTTGGAAGCCCCTGTACAATGCCGACGCTAGGACGGATGGATAAGGGGAACAGGTGTGTTCGAATAACAGATTAAACATAAAGATCACGTGATTATACAACTTCAACAACCACAACCTGTGACGAGTAAATATCAATTCTTACAAAACAAATAGACAAAGTCATGCTTTGCACATGCGCACCTGTGAAATATTGAGACACAGATATCTAGGTCCACATAAGATGTCCATTTAAACCACTGATTTATAAATAGAAGGGAAAACTAAGTTGCAGGAATTTGTGACAAGGATTATTTGATGTTAGCGATTATGATGTCGATGACAATGATTCGATGTGACGATAATGCTTCCGTTCAGACATCTAGCGCATCTACTCCTCCGTTAGGTGACAGAATCAGTCGTACCATCTCACTTTCTCTGCTCTCAACACTTGACGAGGCCATATTCCATACTAGCATTAGTATCCTGAGTTTTTATCGCATCGACATATCACTGCCTTCTCCATGTATTCCAATCACGTCACGTATGAACATGTTGTTGGTAAAGTTATCCCACAAAACAATCACAGTTTCACTTCACCATTAATTACATCAGAACGGTGTCACAATTTTTAATGTTCCCGGGTCATTTTGCTCTCCGGTCACTGTGGCATTTGATGAGAATATGGATTATGCATTACAGTGTTATATTCCTGGGCCTTCAGCCTGAGACATGCTATGCTTGAACCAATATTAGGCGGTGGGGAGTACGAATGATTTGCAAGAGCACAACTTGAAGATGATGACGCGGGGCTGTAGGCCGGAGGGGCGTACCAGTTCATTGTATCGGCGGATCCCATAGAAGATTGTCTGGGTGTGATGGGTTGCTCAATGGGTGTTGTCTCTGGTCGCCCATACAAGTTACCTCTCTGAGCCATCATGTTCCTTTCGTTGCGCCTGAATTTTGCTCTTCTATTTTGGAACCAAACCTGAAGGAAAAAAATATCTTGACTAATATTGTGATATATATTTTTTTCTTGTACAAGTATTGTGAAATTAATGCTTTTTGTTCAAGATTTTGCGTAATGGTAACTTATAGTCCAATGTTTACCTGTACTCGAGCCTCACTCAAGTTAACTCTTCTTGCGAGTTCCTCTCGAACAAACGCGTCTGGATAATGCGTCCTTTCGAACACTCGCTCCAAAGCTGCAAGTTGGTTGCTGTTAAATGTTGTTCTGTTGCGTCTTTGCTTTCGTCTCCGCTTGCTGTCTTTGTCATCTTTATCATCATCTTCGTTTCCACCTATAAATTGAGTACATTTTAGTTGTTGTGTATGGTTCAGTTGGGCTAATCATCGGTCTTGACATAACTGAATTTTGTTCACATGCAGAAAAAAGTACACTTAAAAGACAATGAATAAAATTTCATTTCTTGAAAATGTCTTTAAAGTCTTTTCAATATCTTTTTGTGTCATAACAATCAAATCTGGATTTATTAATAGTCACAAATTAAAATATGTCAATTTTTCCTCATTTATTCCTTAAAAAACCGATCATAAACAAATCTATTATGATATACATATTAATTAAAGATATATATGATGCTTATAGCATGTCAGATTATATTCTGATTCTGATCAAAGACCTGAAAACGATTGCAAATGAACTATCGAACATTATAATCATGTTCCATTCCATGTGCATGATGGGAAAATCTTCAGCAAGTTCAGTGTTCAACTTTCTAACGAAGGAAACAGAGTATTTATTTGTTTTACCTGATGCCCAATTCTCTTCATTTTAATGAATGAAATATATTTTTAGATTAATTAAACAAAGGAAAGTCTTCGCTGTTTGTAGTGAAGATTTGTATGTTTTTTGAAGTTTCACATGAATTGTCTACTTTTAATAGAATATAATATAATACTGTGATTAAATATGATAAATTTTTAAACCTCATGAAAAACGTTGTAGATTTTAAATAAGGTACACGTGATAATGAGAAAAATCAAAATTAAATATTTTACCACACAAAATATTTAAAATAATTCATTGTTTGGAGGGAGAAAATCCTCAGGAGATTTTATGGCAGAAGTCATTCACGTCTCTTCGACCATTCCTCAATATGCTCGGCAGGAATGCACATTATGAACACAAATGTTGACTTTTGTTAAGAAAATACACCGACCCGGCTTTACCGGACCACGTGTGCGCCTTAGTAGCAGCGCTTCTACTTAACCCCAGAGCAAGCTCAAATATTGCTCAGCGAGAGGAGTCTGTCATGTTGTCGAAATGAAGACATCAAAGGCGCCAGCGGTCTTCATCAAGTGTTTTTGGAGATTTTGTTTCCAGCAATACACGTCCTTACTAAAACTTCTAGACAAAAATGCCAACTAATATTTCTTATTTTGAAAGGGTTGAGGATGTTATTTATTTTTTTTCTGTAATCTCAAAGTTGGAAAAAAGAGATTTTTCTTAAATACTTTTAGTGAAAAAAAAATAATAATAAGTTGCCTTAAACATATTTTTTTTACTATCTTAGCTGAATTTTCAATAACCATGATAACATTTTTAAACTTTGTGACACGTTGAATTTTTATATAGACACCTTTACTCCTTAGGATCATATGGCACGTATAATTTTCTAAGACAAAATACTATTACGTAATTACTTGTTATACGAGAAAATTTGACTGAAATTTATTAGACTTTTATCTTTGCCCCTCAGTCAAGAAAGTATCCCATTTCTGGCAGAGCTCTTCGTAGACATGCTATGCTTCAAAAGCTTATATCGGATCAGGTGTTTGAACAATCGTAAAACACAATGATAAAGTAATGTCATTGTATGTTTATGTGACATGGGTAAATGGTTTATTACACTTTAAAGAAAAACATTTTTCTCTAACAGCCAAAAATAGTACTAAAATCCTCCAAAAATTAATTTGGCACTGAAATTTATTACAATACTGTTCTTTCAGGTTTATGTGGTATAAACATAGAAAAACTTGGTGAATATGTACAAATTTATTAGGTCCAGAGTAAACTGTATATCCGCAGTGCCCGTATTTTTCAAGCACAGACTCGAAGACTGTGCTAACTGACAAGAAGAGGAGTGATTATTTAGGGTAATTTGATACACCTTAAATGTTTATCCCTTGTTGAGGATTTAGATTTTTTGCGTACCATGTGGCTAAGATGACATTTTGACTTTTCAAAACTCATTTTCAGAATTGAACAATGGGCCCTTCTGTTACATTTTCACTCAATCGTTGAGAATTTTTATGCGATATATATTCACTGAAATGTTGATGGTAATACGTTTCTCTTGTTCAAGCATAATAATTTGCCGGTTAATTGAAGTAATAAATAACAGATTAGAGAGCACCTAGTGCTTGAAGGGTCTGAAACACAGAAACCTCATTTGTACATGTTTTAATTAATAGGCAGTGTAACTCTTGACGAAGTTTCGAAATCTATGGCAGCTACTCGACAAAGTGTACATTTCTCCTTCTCTCAGAAGACTATTTAATATTGCTTTGATCTGAATTTTGAACATTGGGTATAGAATTCCTTCCTATCCTTTACGACTACTATTGAGCGATGTTTCCATGTCAAGTTTTTGACAACTAAGAGTCCATCATTGCAGAGGGGGGTTTACATGTGTGTATGGATGTGGCATGTGTTTCTGAGGCTGTCAGATACACGGTGGTGTGTGGATATGTATACACATTCAAACAAGACCCTTGGGACACATTATGTACACATTCTTACACAGTAATCAAAAAATCTGTATATGGGGAATTTATTTTCCAACTATCATGTAGCATTTGATAATCTATTACATGATAATATTAAACAGTTATCATGATTAAATTTTTTTTTCTATTATTATTGAACTGATAATTTTAATTTTTTAGCCTAAAAAGAAACGGATTTTTTTCCCTAACTATACTATCAAAGGTAACTTTTAGAAACTATGGTACTTGAAAATCAAAATAACGTAAAGCTGATTTGCTTCTTCAATGGCAAGCCGAAACAACTTTTTTTTCAAACTTGGCGTAGATAAAATGAATGTTTTTGTTCTGCCTTTCAAAAAAAAAAAAAAAAAAAAAAAAAAAATTAAAAAAAACGATCATGGATCGCTTGCAGATCGATTTATAATGATATAAGACTTTTATCATTTCAATTAGCCGTTTACTTATCAGTAGATGTTCACACTAATTAGATTCGGTGTAATTCGTGACTGCTGCTATAAAATGTTTTGTACGACTACAGAATATCGCCATTGAAAACTTCTGTAATTCAAAATTATCACTAAAAAACTCTAAAGCAATCGACTTAACTGATAAACAAACAACCAAATAAAAGTTTACTCATGTTTTACTTCTTTTTTTCTTAGAGAAATAAAAATTCGAAAAATCCTATATGCTGTCCATTTTAGCCTAATTCTGCCAGTCGTACGTATGTGAATCTATATAATTAAGAAACCTCTTGGTATGATAGGTGCTTGCAAAGGCTCCAAGCAGTCTACATATTGTCAACCGCAAAAATGACCCTGAATAGAGTGTATCAAAGATGTACCAGAGCAAATTCTTTGATAAATCTCAATGGGGGGAAAAAGATTTTATTTTAAAGGTACAATATCAAGATATCATATATCCCTAAGTAAATCGTAATAAAATGTTTTATCATCGGAAAACATTATTTATTTTCTGTTTTAAAAATCACAATTTTGCTTATCTATCAATAGCAATATAAGCAGGGGGAGGGAGTGATAGCAAGGAATAATGTATTACAGCGGCTATCGTTTTGACATTAGCACGATTTAACATGGAAATAACTGTAAAATACGAGCCTCGTTAGGCTCACTCAGTAGACAAGTAAAATTATGTATGGTCTCTCTTATGATAAAAGGAAGGAAAATTTCTCTTTCATCACGTACCCTGAACGTTTTCAAATTCTGTAATAATCAGAATTTGTAGAAAAATATCTCGCGATTATCAGAGCATTTTCTGAGTTTTCTATCGCTTTTGATAAACCGTAAATTGTTGGAAGTAGGGTCAAATAACTCTAGCTATTTCCAAGATTACTTTTTTTTTTGAAGACAACAAATGTCAGAATGTAATAAATGTCAAACTTTACCGGTATGACCGCAGCAGAACTAGCAATATTTTCTATTTTATGAAGCATAATAATAAGTTTTGGAGCAAGTTCATGAAAGTGACGTGCCTTGAAAATGTATCTGCTGTTTGTATTTTCATTATCCGTTTTTTGGCCACTCTTCTTTATTATGTAGCGTACGAGGTATTTTCAAATCGACTCAGACTTTGTTTGCTAATATTTTTTATCATCTGACTGCAGTATTTTTTCTTAAGATCAAAAATATTCAACATGCAGTTACGATTTTTATAATTAAATAAAACTTTCAATTTATCTTTTCAGATTTCTTTCAGAACTTCTGTGTAATATTGCAAACCTTTTTTTTCAATGCTGGTACTGTCATGAGTCAAAAATTAAATTCTAATGAGAAATTGGAAGAACCAAACTGGAAGCCCTTTAAATTTCCGCTCTCGTTCATCACCCCTGAACGTTACCCGTCCGACATGCCAATAATTAAATTCATGTAATACCGTCCATCATTCTGCTAACACTTGAAACTGTAATTAAAAGCACGGCGGTATCAACCAGTTGTTGATTAGAGAGGGCATCTCATTCGCACCATTTATTTCATTAATTTTATCAATGAACTATACCAACCCCAAGTTTGTCATTTCAAGATTTATATGGAAGCTTCGGCAAATGTCAAGAGGCTGATTCAGAGAATACAAAACACATAAATAATATTACATTGTTTCCTGAGAGAAAGAGAAGAGTTACTATTATTAGCAGGACTTCCAGGATGGTAATTAATGTTATCTTTCGAACGCTCCGTCATGTCAGTCCGTATGTGATGTAGACAAACATTTTCCTAACCCATCAAGTAACACAGCGGTATCAAAACAAAATCATAACGACTCCACAGAACCCGGGAAAGCGATACCTATAACGAGGGAAATAGGATGGGGAGATCGTCGGTGAACAGAATTAACCCTAGTGATCAGCACATGTATTTACAAGGTCCTTTATTAATCAGGAAACATGTCGATAAGACTGGATATCCTATGTACTAATATGTAAAGAGAATATCCTTATGTTTAATGTATCGCAAAAATTTTGTTTTTTTGCAGTAAAAAGCCTTTAAGGGCACTTTACTATTTTGATCTAGTTTATAAAATAGCTTTGTATTATAATTCGAATATCAGCATATTATTTTGCTTCAACATAGTAAACAGAATTTGTGGAGTTCAAACGCATTTGAACGGATTCTTTTTTTTATCATGCGTGGCAACACAGGTAAATTCTATGGAGCTTCATAAAATTTGTGTATTTATACGATTCATAAATAAAAAACGTTTTGGGATCATTTGAAAAATTATTTCACTTAAAAGTGTAAATATTGAGTTTCACTTTAACTTCGTGCATGAAGCGTGCAATGTATAGAGAGGGGCCTTAAATATGAACACTATAGTGTATTTAGTTTTTAATGCTATGCTGATAAATTATTGATGTTCTAACAAAGGAATGTTATTCCGATTATTTATTGATGTTCTGAAAAAGTTTGTCAAACCTTGATTATTTTTTAAAATTAAGAACTTATCCTTATGTTGAAATTATATTTTAAAATATTGAATTTTTTAATCCAAAACCTGTATTTATCTTATAACAGTAACTGTTTTACATGTACTGTATTTTGATTGATTCCAAAGTACAATGAAGTAGCAAAAAATGTTAATGAATCTTATGTTTAAAAAAATAATAATAAAGTGTCTATTTTTTCTAAAAACTCGTAAAAGATGCCTATAATTTTACCACTTTTTATCGAACAAACCTCTATGAAATTATTTTGAATTACTTTGTGAAAAAAATAACGTGAATTTTCGCAACTTTACTTCTATATATTAAAATATGGAAACAACTGAATAAGAAAAAGTAAAATGATATATAAACCAGATATCATGAATTGATCGGCAGTGTTCTTTTTACAGACTCATCAACATATATCAACATTTAGAGCACACGAATTGATGTCTGACAAAAGACAGATACCGTCAAATCAAAACACCGACTACTGTACATAAACAGGCAATTTAGCGGAAAAGAACTCTCCATCTGATGAAGGAAAATAAGTTATATATATATGAAATCTGCAGAAAATCACCGCACGTAACAAAATTGCATAAATTATATAATGATAGATGATTGAGATTTTTACATTTAGATTAAATTTTTTAAGTGGCTAAAATCAAATGTTATGATAAAAGAAACAAACTGTAATCAATTGCAAATTAAATAAAAACTCAATTACTGCAATCAAGAAGAAAATTAACTGCCAAAAATCTCAAAATGATTAGAGAACACTAAATTCCTAAGAAGTATTGTTCTTTAGCTTTGAATTTAAAATGAAACAACCACAGTGTAAAGTGATATTCAAACACTTGTTTAACATAGAGGATGCAACCATTTACTAGCCACTATAATTTGTGTTTACAAACGGTAATCAGTATTTAATGAATAGGTAATTCATTCCACATCGTTTTCATTGAAAACGGTATACCATTGCCATGCCTAATCAAAACCACCGCCCGTCAGCCGCAAAAAATTCTCAAATACACAAATTATCACTAATAAATGAAAACACGTTTCTTGCTACCAGATACACATCACTAATATAAGCATACGAGCTAATTTCCTCCGCAAATCGTTGTGACAGATTTTACCGCCATATTAATTAGTAACACTATTTTCTGAATGAAATCAGTTAACTTATCTCGGAATGCCCTGTCATGCCCAGTTAGTATTACCCCGGATATTAGAGAGCTTATTGCAACAAACGTTTCTCCACTGTATATAGTTTCCTCTCAATCATCACAACCAATTCCTACTGTCGGGAAAAAATAAAACGGCTGTTCCCAATGATAATTTGCTTTGATAATATCTATATTTGCTTTGAACTGATAAATTTGTATGAAAGAACATGCTAAGTGTCTATGGTGATTCAAGAAAATGGTGGGCTCTTATAAACGTATCTTCGTGTATTTTATTTAAAAGAGAACATTTTAAGAAGATCACTCAATGAATTCTTTCATCATTAACATGCACTATTTGCTAAACAAAATTTGATACATATTTTGGTTGTTTTTTGTAATGAACGTTAACGCTTTGGGTCTTATCAAAGGTTAATTAGGTATATCTCGACATTGTTATCAAACCCTAATTTAATATACGCAAATTTCTTCTACTCAAGTCACATCAACTACGTCGCAGTTGCTTTAAGAAATGAGAATCTCTACCTAGAGTTATTTTTCACTACAAGACGAAGTTCTCTACCTAGAGAAGAATCATCTTCACTACAAGACAAAACTATAATAAAACTCACTTTGACTTTTACCATCACTCGGTGAGGGTTGTTGCATTCTGTCCTGTATCGGGGAGGGGGAATTATTGCCTAGGTCTGTCATTCCTGTTCCTGGAGGATTGCCGTTGAGGGTCGGGGTACATGCCTGAGTGGGAAGGCCTGGCTGGGGATCAGTGTTAGCATACATGGCACAATTTTCGCTGGGTAATTCCTCCAAGTCCAGTAGGTGACTCACGGTGAAGTTAGCTTTATTGTTCTGTAAGGCATTGTGGTAAGCTGCAACTTTGTCAAAGCTGTTGGCAAACTGATGGTGATGTTCAGTAGATGCTAGGCCGTAAGTACTCATTCTTCTGATTGGGTATCAAGAGTTTTCAGACGACTGTCAAGTGCTAGAGAATTGCACACAGAAATCACAAATCTACTGAAAGTAACTTCACAGGCATTCAAGGAAAATAATGTAAAAATCCGCAAAAATTAATCTTCTTTTTGTGGTCACTTCCTCGGAATGAAAGGTATTACTGCAAATAACTGTTCTACATAGTGACTTCCCAACATATGTAGTTGTAAGCCAAAGCTTTGAAAGGCGATACGACAAAACAGAGAGTGTAGTGGGATCAGAACATGTGCAGGCCGTGACGGAATCCCTCCCACAGGCCTCTTAGAAAGAACATCTCCAGCCTCCAAGAAACGTGGTGTCAGTCACAAAAAAGCAGGCATATGATTGGATTATCATACCTCCCGCTGGGAGGCGCTCCGCAGAAAAGAAACACCCACTCAGTTGCGGATGTGAAACTTTCTATTGACTAACACAACATGACATGTATTTATTTTTGTTTGAGCGTTTTGCAATATAAAATGTTACGGAAGATTACCGGAGAATATTCTTTGTAATGTTAATGTTTTTCTCAAGTAACATAATAAAAGCATCAACATTTGATTTACATACAAAAAAGAACCTCAATAAATGTAGATTTATGCATTTAGAAAAGCTAAAACAATATTTGATATAACTTAGTATGATAATATAGTTTAGTAATTATGAAGGCTTTTTTCAAAACTTCTCATCCATCAAACTGCTTCCAACATTTTTTAGCAAAAAATCTCTGTATTACAAATTAGTACTCAGGAAATAAAGAAATGAGGTTTAAAATCTCAAATCATTTCATGAAAAAAGAACAGATTGTGTTCTAGAACACCATGAACAGTAACTGCTTCATTAGTAAAATTAGTTGACATACCAGTTTGTCACAACTACCTGCTAGCATCTTTGGAATTCTACAAAAAAAGCTTGTTGCAAAATTTCCAAATATGTTTTAATCATTAATTTTTCAATTTAGAAAACTCTATGACAAAATTTATATTTTTTACTATAGGAACAATAAGCAGCAATTTAATTGCCCAAGAATGATGAATTTTCATGCATAGATCCAAAGAAAAATACCCTTCCTCTAACATCTAAACTGTGGCGATATACATATTGCTTCACTTAATACATAAACACCATTTACCACATTTATAGATTCTCGTTATATCTATTGGAAACTTGTAGTCAATGTATAATTTGGTGTTTTATTAACAAATTAAACAAAACTCCTATAAGAATAGAAGATAAAAGAATAAAGATTGGAAGTCGGTCAAAAAGTGTTGCATCCGATGCCGTGGATATATTCCATGATTTCACATTTTAAATTCATATGATAATAATAATAATCTGTTTATTCATCAATCAAGGGTCCTCAGGGGACATTAATAATCATACCAGTATGATCACATTTAAATATTATAAAATATGAATCATTTATACAATGGAGGTATAAATGGAAGATATATAAAACCACATTTATGATACTTGTGCAAATGTAAAATATGTAACATTCCCACAGTTGTCTGAAACTAGGTAAAAATATTGAAGAAGTAGAAAACCACATGAAGATATAGTGATAATAGCAGCCTACTATTTTATAGTGAAAAAAGGTGGCTTAAATTCAGAGGGTACCAAGGGACGGTGCCTAGCTGTGTACAGTCACTCTGACTGCATGGTAAATCTGTACTTTAAGTATTCAAAACACTCATTTAATAATAAAAGTGAAAGGAAAAGTAAAAAAATGTACATTATAAATTATTGTGTACTTTACACAAACTAGACATTTTTGAAATGAGTTACAGGTATATCTTATATTACAGTTTTTAAAATCACTAAATTGACTTGCACTAGTATTTGAAATAGTACTGTGTACTATATATATATATATATATATATATATATATATATATATATATATATATATATATATATATATAAGATAAATAAATACTGAGTAATGATAATATGATAATAGCAGCATACTATTGTATAGTGTACAACGGTGACTGGAATACAGAGGGTACAAAGAACGATGCCTGTGTACAGTCAGTCTAACTGGTAAACCTGTACTCTAAGTATTCATGACATTCATTTAATATACATTTCAAAGTGAACTAAAAACCAACATAATAACTATGTACTTTACATAAAACAGACCTTAATGAATTGAGTTACTACATGATGTTTTATAATCATTTTACTGACTTGAACTAGTTATTGCACATCTTCATTGGTCATAAGCCAAGTTAACTTATTGTCACTGTCCAAGTTATGAATTTTTTACAGGATTTGTTTATTAATTCATATAGAACATTTCTTTCATCCTACATTTACATGAGAGTAGAAAATGTTTCTCGCCCCAACGTTGCATCTAGTGCAGTGTAATGCCTATATATTGTCCCCTTTCATATAATCATGTATTCTTTGATCCCACTTTTTGAACATCCATATCCAAATCAAAAAAGTAAGAAATAGAAAAAAAGCGAAATAAACTTTCTAAACTATGCGGACCAATACGTTACGTGTTATTCATTAAAGCTGTTTTTTTCTGTCGAGAGACAAATAAGTATTATTTTAAAATTCTAATCGAAAAAATATTCATTTTTGATATCTTGGACCAAATAACTGTACGCCTAATCTGCAGTGAACGAAATTATAGATGTACATAAAGCGCTATCAAGATCTGCTTTACTTTTGTAACTTTATCGGCTAAGCAAATTACTCACAAATGCAACCATGACCGAATATGAAAAAATAATATTAGTTCCCTTTGATCTTTAAAGTACAGAAATAAGATGATGAAACTTCGAAAAGCAATTGACAATGATCTTTACTTCATGCGAATTAAAATATTCAACGAGGTAATATTCATAACAGTTAGTCTGAAATACATGTAATCAGTATGTATGCACTGAAAAACATAAAGAGCCAACTCTGTGCTATATGGTTCATACATATACGTGCATATTAAGGATATGCTTGGAAAAAATTCTAACAATGATAAAATCGGAAGGCGATTAAAAGTTGCTTGTAGAAATTCCATGCAAGATGTACAAATTATTTCTATTTTCAAATGCCCCATACTTCGGACAGTACCATTGTCCATTAACCAATCGAATATTTGACATACACACTTTCTTCAGTTTAGCAAAATATTAAAAAAAGAAGAAGATTGAATATGCATAAAATGAATACTTCATTTGGTGTTTTTTAAGGATACGACATTGAATTTCATTGCTTTCGTTTCATTTAGTTTACCTTTTGATTTTCCATTTCCTTCCCCTTACAACATACATGTTTGTGTTGTAATCTTATGCATTTACTTTCACACGGTTAATATAAAAATACATTATATTAGTATAACGTTTAACATAGAATCAAACTGTTGTGAAAAACTTGAGAAAAAAAACTTGTTTTCAGCACAAGCCTAAAGAATTCATAAGATTATAGTATTACACTTGGTTCTGTATAGAAAAGACCATGGAGTCACACAAAATATCTGCATGTGCCGCCAGGATGCCACAGTTAAGGTAAAAAAAACTGTAATAGGAAAAATACTTAACTATATTAGAAAACAATCAGCAGGTTTTTTATTTGTTTTTTGTTGGGTTTTTTAATGAAGGAGCTTGCGGATCCCAATTTTCATATACATGTACTGGTAGTTGACTTCAAAGTCAACACTTCAAAGTAGTTTAACTTTCGAAATAATTTACTTTCGAAATAATTTGATAAAAAAAAATACTCTTTGTATCTAAAAATTATACAAACTTGCACCTTTAAGAAAAGCTTGTTATAAAAAAAAAACAAGATCTAATTTAGACTAAAGTCTGTTCTCAGTTTATGGTCTTGGGGTCTTGTCCTCAGTAGGCATTTTGCAGAGGAGTGACTTCCGGTCTCTAGTTCCAATTTAAAGTCTAGTTTCTGACTTAATATTAACATCAGTTAAACGAATATTTTCTCCTTTATCTATTTTGAAAACCATAGTTACAATAGGATCAATTTACTTTTGAACTAGTAACATCCGGCTTTATAACTCCAAACATGGAAGACGTGTCAAAGGTCAACTATATTTTATGCTCTTCTATCTAAATTTCGAACGGATCGAAAATATATATATGTACATATGTTAGTACTTTCACACACTTTATAAGAATAATCCAATCTTTGTTGTGTCAGGTATATGTTAAATAACAGTTGCAAGCATTGCAGAATTGTTCCTATAATTCCTAATGAATATATGAAACAGTTTGGTTCAAGTAATAAAATCAATTCCATGACCTATGTGTATTAGACGCACTCCACTAACACTGTATTTAGACTTACTTGAAAATATCAATAAATCTTACTTTACAATGAGAAAATTTTGTTTTCGTTTCTCTTACAAGAAAGGGCAAGGTTAAGAGGTAATTTAAGAATATGATAAAATTGTCAGCATCGAGTTCAAGGTCACAATGGCCCTCTATTTCCTGTTGGCACGACCTGTTTCGAACTGCTTTATTTTATAGCATAATGTCATACACATAACTCTCTGAGAAACCCTGAATATGCTGGGAAGAAAATGCGAAATGCACAACAAAAGAATGTCATGAAAGAACTTGATCGACGATAAAGTCTTTCTAAAAGATTTCATCACAGGAGCCGTCACATTATTTCACGGAGAGCACACGAGTTAGTCGCACAAAGAAACAAAAAATATGACTGTTTTCTTTTTTAATTTGAAAAATACTAAAATTGTTTTGCTGTTATTTGTTTGTTTCAGTATAGAAGTAGTTTTTTTTCCAATTTAAATAACAGCACTTAGAAAACAAGGTTGAAATTTTCTGTTATATTTTAATTTAGCAACGGAATAACTGCATATCAGTAGTTAATTTCTGATTATGCTAGTTTGACGCATATTTTTAAGAAATAATAAAGGACAGAAATATTTAGCGATTTCTTTCAATGATTTCGCAATATATTTGAAAGAAACACACCTATTCAAAGGGAAAATTGTAAAATTTCCACAGTTTCCTTTAAAAAAATATATAGTGAAACTCGGTTATGGCGAAGTCCTGTGGACCCGTGAATTTCCTTCGCAATCAGTTATTCCTTATATCCGTATAACGAATTCGTAAATGTATATACATAGCTAATTTGCAATACATACATGTTTTCCTTTTATGACTACCGAATATGCTCACGGGAATATTAAATACTTAATTACCATGGGGATCATCTAGTTTTTTGCTAATTTAAATGAATTAAAATTTCAAATAAAAATGTTTACGAAAAATAACGTCAGCACTTAAATTTTTAAAATGCCGAGACCTTAAAAATTCGCTACAAAAGATGCAACTTTCATTTTTCTTAGCCTCTACGGGACACAAAATCAACTCGCTATCTTCTTAGATTCTCTATATCAGAGTTCGTTATAATCGTACACTTGTACAAGGAATTGTAACGGACATTGCCGAGGCAGAGTCTCTCATAGACAGCTTATTGCTTTGTCATATTGTCAAAGAGAAATGAAAGCTTATAGAGCACGCTAATTTCAAATTCTAGTAGCAATTTGTAAGAGTCTTATCCCTGTTAATCATATATGTCAGTTTATATAAATTCTTACTGAAAACATCTCAAAACCCGTACAACCGATATATATGTAATTTTTTTTAGCGTGTAATTAACACTTTTACGACTGCCAGCAAAACTAGTACTATCAGTTATTTCAGTCCGCCATAAAACCAAGCAGTATCTCCGAAGAAGAGAAAGCACTAATTAGTAACCAGCAGCATTGAGTGTCTTCCGAAGGGTAGACATATGTAAGAGACGCCAGCGAGCCGGGAGAGGCTGAACACCGACTGACATCTCAGGCGCTCCAGAGACAAATGCCCATTTCACGGGAAGAAAAAGCTGGAATTGGCAGGGCGGCTCGGAAAGCAATGCCATTTAACCGTTATTCGATATGTGCTCTAAACGATTTTTCATCGGATGAGTGCTCTGTGTTTTCTTGTATTTTTTGCGAGAAACAAAATGTTTCACCGTGGGAGCACATTCTTCAGATGTTACTA